TATAAAAATACTAAAATAAATTATATTACACAACAAAATTGAGGTCTTATTTTAAGATTATAAAAATAAAATAAAACTTTGGGACCTTATTTTTCGTAATCTCAACAAATTTTTTCATTATCACGCGCATGTCATGACTAGTAAACATGAATTTTCAAAATGCCTTCATTGACTCAACAGATTTTAAAATTTAATTTCTGCCATAATGGAATTTCAAAATTTCAAGCACCATTCTTGTTATTTTTCAAGATAAACCAAATCATGATTAACCCAAACAATTAACAAAATATACACCTTTTTTCAAGTGGAATCAAACCAAACCACTTATTTTATAGTGCCTGAAATAAATTATAGTAATTTGTGAAATATATAATTTTTGTGATAGCAAATTAAGGCACTATAATGGTTGGGAACATTAGAGAATTTATATTTTATTACTAACAATTGTCCGTATTTGAAGATACTATATAATGATATCCGAATGATATAATAAATGTTTAATAAATAAATAAATAAATATATATACAATATTACTGCATACCCCCCCCTATCAGATTTTGTCGAGTAATGACGTTAATGGAGATGCACTTTTACATAAATACCCTTACCATGACTGCCATTTTATAGGCATTATTGAAAATTACTCTTATATTTTTTAATGTTTTAATTTTTACCAGATGTTATGCCCTAACCTAATTATGGTCACAAATTATTTTTTACCAAAGGAGTTTATATGTCCATATCACACACTATCATTATTAAAATAATTATATCAAAATAATACTAAATTAATATTTAATTTCATTAAATCAACACTAAATTAATTTTTAATTTTATAACATTTCTACTCAATTTTATCAAATAAACATTCAATTTTATCCAATTGATATTCACTTTTATCACACTAACACCAAATCAATATTATATTTCATCGCACCAAATTAGTCTCCAATTTTGTCAAATTAACATTTAATTCAGCCAATGAACATTCAATTTAATCAAACTAGTGCCACATTGATATTCAATTTTTTCAAGTTAACATTTACTTTTATCAAATTGATATTAATATTTATCAAATTAACACCAAATTAATATTTATCAAATTAATACTAAATTAATATTTATCAAATTAACACCAAATTTGTAATAACCGAGTTTCGGTTATTAGAAATCGTTAGATGTGTACGATTAGGAGATCAAATCGATGTCCGAAATGTTAATCGATAATTTTATAATGCTTGCTTTAATATATATGTAATGGTGAAAAAAATAATAATATTATTATTATTAATTAATTTTTGAAATTAGACAAAATAAAAAAATTACCAAACTGCCACAGACAAAATAGAAAAATTACCAACCTGCCATTAAAGCTTCAAGGGTCTTCTACACAATGCAAGGTGGTTGATGAAGGATTTGCTAGGCTGCATGGAGGACACCCAGCTGCTTGGGGAGAGCTGAGTGAGCTACTTGAGAGGGGATAAAATGGAGAAGAAATTGGTAGAAAGAGAGAGAGGAGAAAGAAAAATTAGTGAGAGAAAGTAAAGACTTGGAATTTTTGAATTCTTGCAGAGATTACTTCAAGCACTAAGAGGTATACTCACAGCCTAATATGAATGATATGAACTCATATATGTATTTAGATTTTCATTTGGTTTAGTATTCATGCATGAATTTGTGTTTTAAAGTTTAGTGGGTTTTTGAATTTTGAAACGGGTTTGAGGTTTGAGCATGTTTTGGGTTAATTGTTTGGTATGGCTGAGTTTGTGGTGTCTTGAGGAGTTGTTTAGTGGTGGTGTGGTGGTTTGCCGTGGTGTGTGGTGGTGTAATGGTGGTGTGAGGGTTTGAGAAAGTAAAAATATGATTTTGATATAAACTTGTTTAAACTTCGAAATGAGGCTTGGGTCTAGCTAATTTGGGGTCAAGGAATCCATTTCTGGCCTCAGAAATGGATTTAGAAGTTGATAATATGGTTAAAATGAAAATTTTAGGTCTGGCCATAAATTAAAAACCTTATTTTTTTGGTTACTTTGACCAATTTTTCTTTTGGGTTTAAGCTTAATTCAAAGCTTGATAATTATAGGATTTGTTAGAGTGATGTGTGGTGAGTGTTTAGTATAAAAAAATAGGTGAAAAAGTGTATTGAGTAGGGAGAAATAAGGGTGAGAAATATGGGGGTTAGGGCTGCTGGAAGGAGCCTAGGGTTTTGGTCAAAGTGACCAAGGAAGAAGATGAAGTACACCAGTGCACCCCAACGGCGTGTCTAGTCTCTAATTGACCTCTGGTTGGTATCAAAAGTTTCGTAACGTCCGTGTGGAGGTCTCATAATATTTCAAGTCGATCCGACGGTCGGATCAAAATGAGGAGTAAAATAACTATTTTGCCCTCCGGGGTCAATTTGACCCAGTTTTTGAATGATTTTGAGAAAATAAATTTTATATTTATTTTTAGGTAGGTTAATTGAGTATGTGTATTAAATTTCATCTAAAAATAACATTGTTTAATTTTTGGTTATTTCAGATCAAAATACCAAGCGGGTAGGGTTTCTCAATTCCGGAACAGGCGATGCTTTTCCAACTTGTTTCTAAATTATTCTATAATTTATTTATAATGCTTTAGCATGTTTTGAATTATCTGATTGGGTGTATTGAATATTGACTTGGATCCAGACCCAAATGTAGGGTTTCTAAGTGCGGGTTACACTAATGTTTTGGAAATGATAGTATTGCTTGAATTGTTCGTATTGAATGAAACTTCGGGATCCTTTTTAATGGAAATATAAGTGCACACAGGTTAAGTGGCAAAAGGATTTACATTCCAGTTTAAGACCGTAGAGGTTACTCATTGAGTTTGTAAGTGCCTGGGTGGCCCTGTTGGTCTTCGGACTTGGGTACTAAATGTTGACTAGGGAGCGCATCTTCCTCGGGGTAGAAGTTCCCCAAAAGGTTGGATCGTATGATCGTATGGACCCGTAGTGGTCTATTAGGATGAATCGTCCACCAATGTAGAACTGTACTCGAATTTCTGAACTTTATTTTACAGTTTTATTTAATTATTACAATTTTACCTGAAATGACGTTTTTGCTGACTTATGTGTATCAAATGCTCGTTTGGATTATTGCTCAATCATGCTAAACTATACTATTTTCAAACTCGTTTGCTTGGAAATTGAATTACTCTACTGAGTTGTTGATGCTCACCCTACATTACTTTCCCTTTTTCAGATGTGAGAAAACTGGGAGATGTGTACATAATAACCTATCAAAGTTTCTGTATATTTTAAGAAGTTGTATCAAAAGTTTGCGGTAGAATAAAAGAAAACCTAATGTGTAACCTATACTTAATTGAATAATAGGTTGTAATAGATTGTAATATGTTAAGTTAAAATTTTTGCATATGTTTATACAATAATCTGTGGTTTGTAAATTGTGGGTTATTATGTCATGCAGCGTGACTTCTCAGTATTATAATGTTCCGTGGATTAAAGTGACACCTGTCACATGTCGAGCCGATTCAGGGTGTGACAAAATTAACCTTTATAATATCATTTGTTTACTTGAATTTTAAATTAACATTTAATCTCATTAAATCGACATCAAATTAATATTTAATTTTATTAATTTAGTGTTTAATTTTTTATCTATCAAACTAGCCTTCAATTTTATAAAATTAACATTCAATTTCATGAATTTGACATTTAATTTTATCAAATTAATTCCATTTATTTAATTTAATGTCAAATGAACATTTAATTTTTAGATTTAATTTAATATCAAACTAGCTTTCAAATGTTTGATGGAACTCATAGTTAATTCAAATGTCATAATAAATTATGTCATCAAATAAGATCAAAATTTTAAATTCAAATATCATTACTCATACATTATTCCTTTCATTAAATCACCTAATGTTTCTTTTGACATTGCCATTGATTTTGCAGCTATGAGAAAATAATTGCATCTTTGACTCTGTCTTCGTTGACTAAAAATATAAAAAGTCGACTTGCTTTCCGACAAGAAATTGGCCAAGTTGGTCACAAAACATGACTTTTGGCCATCACAGTAACGATTCCATTCCCATATTATTGCCAAAATAATTCGTCTTGCCTGAAAAAATAATATAAGGGTTCTCACTTGAATTTATAATAAATCATGAGTGAAAAAAAAAATAGAAAAAATCTCAATTCAAGAGTTATGTTTGATGAGCAGCGATAATGTTACTCTTATCTACCATGGACATCAAGAGTTTGAAGAGTAGAAACAATAATTTTTTGTAAACCTCGTGTTAATTTGGCTCTACTCAAACTTTGTCAGTCTCGTACAGTTGGTTGTTGCTTTTTTTAACTTCCCTTCGAGCATTTAGGATTGCATAAAAGTTAATTCATTGAATACAATGAAACACATAAATTCAGTCTCGTTTAATTGTATAAACTAGAAGACTGATGTTCTCACAAAGAGCCACCACCCATGTAGTGGCACCCGATTTTCATCAATCCACTTGACAGAAAAACTACGTAGATTAATGATTCATTTGAGATCTAAGCAGCTAGCAAGAATGGTTCAAAATTTTGGTTGATATCGATATGAGTCGATTGAATCCTTTCGGGTACGATACATGTAAATTTCGAGTCCCACATGACTTAATCGAATCGTTTGAGTTATATTCAAGTTAGTCGCCAATATATTATCAATGAACCAGTCTATACCACGCCACAATTGATGTATTTTAAAGTTCTCTCAACTGATGACCTATGAACTTAAACTAGCAAGTAATAATCAAACAAGAATGAAAGGTAGACATTACCTTGAGATTCCGATCCAACTTTTTTTTTTGATATAAATAAACAAAATTTTATTGAATAGTGCATAAAGCTTTTACAATGAAAGTGAAAAACATCGTAAAGAGAATACAGATCTTACAGGAATCATCCTGATGGATCATATAGAGATTAGACAATAACTTGTTGAATCTGCATTGGATTTGGATCTGGATTGTTTAGTTCACATGAAAGAAGAGAAATCCATGTTAGACATTCCAAAGATGGCATTAGAGAACACCCCAATAGCTAGCTTTCCTACAAGTGAATACATCATCTTGCCAGCTGTCCCATTTGTTGTTGCACCAACTGCTTGAGTCTGCTGGTACCCAGAAGGCATCCCATGACCATAAACACCATAATGTGGTGGCGGCCCTGGTGGAGGTGGTTGACTAAACGGCGGTATTGGGGATTGTGGTGGTGGCGCTGGTGGAGGTGGCTGACCAAACGGCGGAACTGAGCGTTGGGTTGGCGGATCACAGGGTACTAGAACACATTCCAGATGAATATCAAAGCCACAAGCTCCGCACCTGTAACGCCAAGAACAGCATGAGCCTCGGCAAATGGCACACCAGCCAGATGATGATGATGTTGACTGGAGGGTTAACGGATGCGCCGGGTGTAGCGCGTGGCATAGGGACTGAGGCAACTGGGTACAAAGTGGGTGAACGTCGAATTCGCAATCCTTGCACCTGTAGAACAGCCCTTCCACATGGTCACCACAGACGTTACAGACGCGCTCGTTCCGACGAGTGGCTTGAGCCTTGCGGACTACTAGACCGAGTGGGTGTGAATGCATGAAGGAGGAGAGACTTCTAGGGCATGTACCACAGTATTCATGGAGATCGAAATCACACCCATTGCATCGGTATCTTGTCCCGGATCCATGGGTCTTGCAACCATCACAGTGGTACTTTGTGTTAGCCTTAAGCTGTTCTAGTCGATGCCCTGGATGGGTGAAGTGCTCTATGGCATTCTTCGGCAACGGAACCATTCTCTCTCTCTCTCTCTCTCTCTCTCTCTCTACGACGAAGACTTGTGAAGGATTACATTGAATGTGTCGTGCATTTAATATAGATATAGTGAAAATGGCTGAAAACGATAGGCTGTGAGACTTTGTGAGGCGAAGACTTGGAAGTTTTGATTTACTTGACTTATGCCAAGGCTAACAAGCACATGGAAAAGGATGCACAATTTACGAAAATAGGCTCTAAGCCAACCATGAAGTATCCACAGCGGGGGCCAATGCCAGAGCATATGAGGCTCCCACGGCCAGGTCAACGGCCAGAATTACTTTGTGATCATGTCTGACGAGGAAAAAAAAAAAAAAAACAATGTTATACCGAACAAATTTTAGGATCAAATAAATAGTCTAAAGAGTAATGCTACGCAGTCATAAAAATTAAACTTAAAAATTAGACTTGATAATCTTAATCATTGAATTAGTAATGAGTCCCAATAAATACAGGGACCTACAGTGAAATCAATGGTTGAGATTATCAAGTTTAGTTTTTAAGTCTACTTTTTAAGTCCATGTAATATTGCTCATAGTCTAAATGATATGATAGTTGATTTGGATTTTTGTATTTAGTGTCATGTCATTTGAGCCCCAATAAAAACTTCAAATAATATGTTGTCATGACATTTCGACTCTTTATTTTATCCCCAAAATTTGATCGTCATAGCATTATTGAAAGAAAAATTGGTTGAACCGCAATATAAGGCGGAGCCAGGATTTTGGTTAAGTGGGGACAACCTAAAATTATTAAATTTAAATTATAAATGTAACATTGTTGTCATCACAATATATATTTTTAATAAACTTTTTTTTTTATGTATAATTCCATAAAAAAAAGTCATTTAGATGTACAACTAATATATATAAGCGATGTACAAAAAAAGGCAACAAACAAGACTATACATGAAAAAAATATATATTTTTTGACTAGGAGTCGATTGTTCTAGGATTGATTTATTTACAAGAAATCTATCAATAACTAATTAAAAAATAAATTTATTTAATTAGATTCAAATTTAATAGTTTGTTATTAAGTTAATATCGAATGACATAATTTTAGTGGGGGTAAAATTAAAAATTTTAAAAATTCACTTATGTCCCAAATATTTTTAAAATTCTAGCGGGAGAGTTGCCCCCATACTAAATCCGCCGGAATAGGAAAGACATATGTTCTTTATTTATGACCTAGATTGGACAGGCCGAAATAAATTGAGAATAAGCCAAAATGGGCTTATCACGAGAAGTGTTAATTGTAAATTGTATTTTAAACGGTCCTTCGAATTTTTATTTATATTTTTAAATATCAAAAATTTTAATTTATACTCTAAAATATTAAAATTTGTATTAATGTGCACCCCTAAAAATAAAAAAATATCAATTTGCACTCTCAAAGATAAAAATTTATATTAATGTGTACCTAAAGTTAAATTGATAAATTATCTATAGATCCCCTCATATTTGTCACTTAATCATTTGGACCCCTTCACATTTAGAATATTACTCTTACATCTCATTACGTTTATGCACGTGTAACACATAACTCATTTTCGTTGATATCTAATAATATAATCATTAAAAAATATCATTTTGTCCTAATAAAAAATTATAATTTTATATTATCTTTTATTTTATGGATCCGATATACTCTAAAGTTCAAAATCAAGTTTATCATTTGAATGTCCAAAATGTAGATATTTATATAATTTTTTTATATCCAATGTAATATATTACTCAATGTTCAACCCTTTATTCTATTAGACATTCAAATGGTAAGATTGATTTTGAACTTTAGAATACAGGAGTTACGTGTTACATGTGCACAATCGTCATGAGATGTTTGAATAATATTCTAAATGCGAAGGGGTCTAAATGATTAAATGACAAACATGAGAGAATTTGGGTATAATTTATCAATTTAATTTTATGCAGCAAACTAACAACGGTTATTTTCAAAAAAAAAATAACGACGGTTAGTTTTAGTTGCATATTGATACAAATTTCTATCTCTGAGAGTACAAATTTATATTTTTAAGAATACAAATTGATATTAAAATGATATTTCGGAGCGTAATTTGCGGTTAACCCTGGTGACAATCAGTCAGAAACTGATAGGTCTTGTCAGTGCAAGAAATGAGGGCATTAACCTCAACGCCAAAAGGTGAGAGGCCCAAAAGAGCGGACAGATCGCAAATCGTAGGAACCATCATGCCTCGTCAGAAGTGGAAGGAAGGCATTGTTCCCGACAGACCAAAAAAGAAAGGACAAGATAGGAAAGGGTTTATCCATGGACATAATGAAAAAACTATATGGCGTGATAGATACCAATGCGATGCCACAAATTGCCATTGATGGCTATCATGCGAGTGACCCATGAAATTCATTGGGAAGAGGGGGGTTTCCACACAGGGATAGGGTTGCCCAAACTCCACTAAGTCCATTGAAGCCTTTCGCCTTGGTTAAAGGGGAAAAGGGTTACCACATATACGATAGTATTTACGAATGGGGTAAAATTATGTCCGGTCCATCCTGTTGAAACCTCCTTTTTCCGAGTAACCACTGGATGGGTTATACATCAGAAAATCATTAAGAAGTAAACTACAGTAGAATTATAAGATAACTAAACATTGGTTCTAATTTAATTTAACTTAATATTAGTTATCTAATTAACTCAATGTGGTTAGGATTAAGAAAAAAATTGAAAAAGAACGAGCCGATGATTTGCAACAACATCGAACTTCATCTTCCTCAACAACGTAGGTTGTCAAGGTGAGCTATTAACATTGTATGAAACTATTATTATAACATTTCTAAACTCTTGGGTTTGTTTTTCCTGTCAGCCATGGAAACGAATGTTGGGTCATGTAAACTAGTACTCTGTTATATATATATATTAGTTATTATTTGTGTCTAAAGATATAAAATAATAAAAATGATAAACAATAAACGTATTTGAATTCATATCCAAAATTAAATCACAAACATAAAGAAGAGATAAAAAAATTTAAATATCAATTTATAGTGTGGGTGAGAGGTGATGGTAAAAGACAGTAATGATTGTGGTGGATGATAATTACTGTAATGGCGATGGTAGGAGTGAGGTTGGTGGCGGCCAATGACGGATCTATTAGTAGGCTAAGGTGCAGCGAAGCCAAGAGTAAAGAAAAAAAAAATTACCACTAAGTATCAGTCCACCCCCAACCCAACCCTAACCCTAACCCCAAAAAAAAACATTTCACCCAACCCAACCTAACCTACCTGCAAACTTCCCCAAAGTCAGTCGAGTCTCGGCCAACCCACCTGCAAAGCTTCTCTCTCAGGCGAGTCCCTTCCCCAAATCTCCGGACAAGCAACGGCGCAACACACAGGCGGCTCTTGCTCTTGGTCTAGTCTTTCCATAAAATCTACCTCTCTAGACTCTAGTCATTACAGATATATCACAGGCCACAGCAATGAGGATCAGGAAACGTTTTCCACTAGATCCACAATTAGAGGCAGCAAGCCCTCATAATTTTTCCGGCAGATTCCCGAAGAAGAATGAGGAGGGTAAGTCAGACGGAAAACAAGAAATGGAAAATCGAGATGGACTAAAGCTTCTTCCATTTGAGTTCATCAGCCAGCGACGCCAAGCCCACCTGTCTAATCGATTTTGGATGGGCTTCGACATGGTATGATTGGTTTTTTGTTTCGAGTTTGTTTGATTTGGTTTTTGAAAAATAGGTCCCAAATTCTTTGATCTGCGATTTCGACTAGTGTTTTTTTTTTTTTGGAATCCATTACTGTTTATTCATTGATTGAGATATCCTCTGCATATGGTTGCTGGTTTACGGTTTGCCTGGTTCTCTTGTTTGTTGTGTTGCGGTGATTTGCTGGTTGCTTCAACTTAGTTGGTTTGTGTATTTGTTATGTGTTTTGGACTGATTTATTGTGGGTAATTTTGCGGGGTTCTTTATTCTTCTTGCTTTGGTGTTTTTGATTTGGTTGCTGAATACTTGTATAAGGATTTGGGCTTTTTGTTTTGAATTTGGGTTAATTGAATTAGCACATACTTGTTTTAGATGATTTGATTGTTGTTATTTGATTTTCTTCGCTGTAATTATGGTAAGTGGAAACTCTCATCAGTCCATCAGTTTGCAATTGACTCTGATTACTAATCAGTTGCACAAGCTTTTCTTATCTTAGAACCCTAATGTGCACCAATTACCTTTTCTAATTGGCCCAATGATTCTATGGCAACACACAGGCGGCTCCAATTGATGAGTGTTTGACTGCTTCGTTAGTTTGTCTATATTGAAAGAGAAATAATGGTAGCAATCGATACAAATTCAATAATAAATGCATTTTATTCTAGGAAGGATCAAAAAATCCAATTTCATTAGTAAGCGTTTATGAATTTATATTTGTATTATTAAATATATATTTATGAGTTTACATTTATATTTTATTAGTCATATGAATGCTTAGTTTAGCCTGGGATAAACAAAAATCCTGACTCTGTCCTTGACGGCGACAATGGTGGTGGTGGTGACGACGACGACGACGACAACGATGGTCGTGGTGGTGACAGTGGCGACAGCGACGGCGGTGATGGTAGTAGTGGTGGTGGAGATGACAGTGGTGGTGGCTGTGGTGAGCGTGGTGGGGACAGCAACAGCGATAGCGATAACGATAGCGAAGGGGGTGGGCGTGGTGGCGGCGGCGGCGGTGGTGATGGTGGGGTGGGACGGTTTCAAACACTATTTTTTTTTAAAGTATTTATGAGAAATAATTTCTAAAAGTATTTTTAAAAAGTTACTTCAAACACATCCTTAGGGACTTATTTTTTCTTTAAATTTCAGGTGTTTATATTAGCCGTTAGATTAATTTTAAAGTAAAATTTAAAGGGATTTTAACCACAAATAGCAAAAGTTATTTTATTTATTTTTTGAGATTTAAATTGTAAGTTACTTTATTTTATTTTATATATATGTATTATAAAA